GCAACTCCGAAAAAAATAGCGGACTATAAAACAAGATGGTTAGATGGATGGTCCACCGTGGATGTTACATCTAACTTTAAATGGTGTGGCGTAAATTGATATTGATTATCGTAGCCTTTGCGTTGATTCCAAGCTTCAACAGCTTCCGCCATATCGGACAGATTGAGGAACCTCCTACTTAACTTAGAAACAATAATATTAAATATGCACTACCTTATATTGTATGAACCAGTAATTAATGAGTAGTAAGATCGATCGTAATTCCTGCTTAAGTGAGGGCCGAGAAGTGCTCCAGAAGCAGGTTGAGGCAGTGGTTGTTCGCTGGTCGTCGATGATATCTGCTAATTATCGAAACCTCAAGCAGCAACGCGCTTCTCTTTAACCGTTGGACTGGATGAAATATGCAAAGAGCTCGTAATAGTTCACCGATGATGGTACCGAGGGCGCACTGCTGCACGAGTAATCGCCAAAAAATCAAGAAGATATAAGATTGGAGGAGCATCGATTTGTGTTGATGGTGCGCTCACAGCGACAACAAGTTGGGTGAAAGAAGATCAGACAGATATGCATGATGAATCGGTACATCGTAATAAGTGAAAACTTTATTGCATCGCAGGATTTAAAAATTAATTTTTGAGTTATTAATGTTTTTCGCCATTACATTGATCTTTATTCATGAGGACGCATTGCTTTTGATCAGGATAGTCATTACAAGTTTATCCTACGTAAACATACTATATAAAATTTTCCTGATGGGTCTCACTGGTTTCGCACTCAGGAGCTATATCGCACAAGCAGCGAGGCAAACCTTAAATATCTCCCTTGACGAGTTAAGCTTCACGCTCTTGTTATCCGAATTAATATTCGTTGCCGTTATGAAGGTGGTCAGTTTTAATCCAGGTTGCGCTTCATGCTTATCATATTGTAACAAGCGATTTTTGTCCTTATTATTTGTCAGTACTGACACACAACACATAAATAGACCAACTCCTGAAACATACTTCATGGTGGCGATGAGGCAGCTCCAGCGGACAAAATAACGTGAGGTGAATCTGGCACCACACACTCAAATACCATTGAGCGTGGGCTACTTCGATGCCCCCTAGGCAAGCAGAAGCAAGGGAGCAGTGCAGTACTTATGACTATGTATTTAATCTTAGATAAGCCGACGTCCTTGTCGAAGTCGCCCATGATTTGCTGCATGACAAAAAATAAATTGAAAATCTTTACTTTATTAAATGCAATGTTACTCATCGTCAAAAAACAGACAGCTGGTGTGTGATCAGCGGAAACGCCGGGTTTAATAAAATAAAGATTTTTAATTCATCTTTTGTCGCGTTGGGAATTGTTCGGTCGAGCAAGACATCAGTGTGCTTTCCTCAGAACGAGATAAGATTTTACACCGTTCAAAGATAGGTACAGTTGTTATTTTGTCTGTTCTCTCTAACCTATTATGTTAATTTGTTTACTGGCATAGGTACGAGCACAAAATTAATTAATGTGCAAGAATGGGACCCCGTTAAAGCAATAGTACCCAAAAGATATCAGAGCAACGAGAAAAGAAACGTCGTTATATTAAGACTGGACGAATCGCCACTCGGGTCAGTCGCAAGGCATGAGTAAAAAAAGTCATGCTCACGATGAGACCTCGCACAAGTTTGTTGAGGGATTTGAAATCTGCAAATATCCGGATCTTCTGATGACGGATATTGATAAACTTTATCACCAGGTAAATGTTGGCCGTTTCCTGGGCCTTCTGCCGGTCGGATTTGCAAGGAACAGTTGCTTAGCCTTCCTTTCTGGAGGCATTCGCAACTGTTTGCACCACGTTAATCTTGGCCGTCCCCTGGGCCTTTTGCCGGTCGGATTTGTAAGGAATAGTTGCTTAGCCTTCCTTTCTGGAGGCATTCGCAACAATGCCCAAGCCATCGCAGTTGTGACTTCTCAATATGGAGAAGCAGTGGCTGTAAGCCAAGGCTCTCAAAGATGTCAGTATTCCGGACCATGTATTGGTAAACTTCGCACACAATTCTTCATCTATATAACGATCTAAAAGCAAATATGCACAAATCCACAAAAACCAGCCTTCGCCATTTATGACATCGCCCCTCGATCCTAGTTGCCTAGGGGTGCATTTAAACAAGTCAAGGCTTTATGTTGCGCGAACCCCTACGGTTTCACATACACTTCGCATCGTTTCGTCCGCTAGAACGACCTC